TGCCTCAGGCACACAGAACGAGTCCCAGGCTGGGACAGAGCTGATTCAGAGGCAAGGCAGGGAGAGCCAGTGCTCCTCAAGGACAGAGTGCCAAATGCAATGCTGCCTCTGTTTCCTCCACCTTCTCCAGTCCCTCCATAATTTCGTGCCGTCAGTGATCTACTCCAGACTCCCTGCCAGCCTCCCCTCCTCCTGTCACACAGGTTGGGAAAACCCAGTGAGCAGGTGATTCCAACTTGTCTTGAGGAGACAGAGAGACCAAAGGGTGTTTGCTTCCATGTGGAGGAAAATGATGAGTGCAATCCTGTGTTTGTCTGGTGGAAAGCACAAGTGCAAAATAGGTGTTGATCCCCATCCCTTGGAAGTGTTCACAGCCAGGATGGAGCAGCCTGGGCTAGTGGAAGTTGTCCCTGCCCACAGCAGGGGAGGAATAAGATGGGCTTTAAGGTCCCTCCCAGCCCAAACCACCCTGAGATTCTGTGATCTCCCCACCAAGATTGAAAGCAAAAAACCTAATTGTTCTTCCTGTATCCTGACAGCCAACTTTTCTACTCCAAAATCCTTTCTGTTTCTTCAATGCCCTCAGCAACAGCTGAAAGTTGATTTTCCCTGCAACTCCTCAAGCCCTGTGCTGGGTGGTGAGGACTGATTTCAAAGTCCGCCTTCTTCCCCAAATGTCAGGCTCTTACTTTGTGAATGAGCAGTTTGCAATGTGATGTGTTCCCTGGGAAAAGGAAAAGGAAGGGGGGGAAATCCACAACGCCCAAATAAGAGCGACTCATGATGTTATTTCCCTTTCACTTCTGCTTTTATTCCATTTTTAACCTACACTTCTTGCATCACTCGGCTCAGCGCTGTGAATCGGGTTTATTTTCAGGCTCTGGTTGTGTAGTAATAGTGGCATGTTCAGTGTTCCTCAGCTCCTGGCTGCAGGCAGGGTGGGAAGCATGTGCTGGCAGTTCTGGAAAAACCCAGGGAATGGCTCAAGTTTTGCAAATCAGCCCTTTAAAGTCTCAGTTTGCTGTTAATGTTTAACCCAGAATTTCTGCAGAACTGCATTTCAAATGCAGTCGGTTCTGGCCAGATTAAAAGATTTTGGCTTTTGCCAAGGGTGCACGGAAAAGTCCACTGGCTTTTGAATGAAACTTGAGATTCTAATACACTTAACCCCAAACCTTGGGGCTTTAAAAACAAGGAAGCCTGGCCCTGCTTGAAGGGATTATTCATTCCTTCTCCTTCTTCCCTCCTCCTCTGCCGGTATTGAAGCTGCCCAATCAATCACATGCAAGACTCTGAACATAGAAATAAATAACATATCCTAGCAGAGGATCTGTGTTTGACTCAGATCTGTGCCTCTGAATTTCATTCAAAATTGCAGGCAGCAGTAAGAGTGCAGATTTGAGAGCTGTGCTGCTTGGAAAAGATGCTGTTCCAGTATCAGGATTTATTTTCCTCAGAGGCAGGGTTTGAAAAACCTAAAAAGTGGCTTAAAATAAGGAGTGGAATATCACACTGCTTTTATCCAGCACTGCACAGGGTGATGAGGTGCAGAATGCTTCAGGTAATTCACCTGTAAAAATACCATTTTCCCAACATTTATCCTCATTAGGATTCCAAAGACTTGACTTTTCTTTTTCCTTCAATCTCTGCATTTATGCTGGGTGAATGGAGAAGGAAAAACACAGTAAAATCAGGCATTCACTGGCATTAATTAAGGTGCAAAGCATACAGGTAAGGCCCCTGTACTAGTCCTAGGTCTGGTTTAATTAACCTGCACTGTCTGCATAGGAGAAGCAGGGAACAAAAGCCCACTGCCATGGGCATGGGAGCAGGAGAAAGGAGAGGAAAGGCATTTCAGCTGCTGAGCATGTGTGAGTGAAATTGCCTCATGTTTTGTTGGAGTTGTCCACGGCACCTTGTCGGAGATTGTGTTTCTGGAGGTGGATGCTAAAGCTTAATCACCGGGATTGAGCCATTCTGTGCAAGGCAGGAAATTAAAGTCTTGGGTGTTTTTCAAAAGCAAGCAGTGCTGAAGTGCATCAGGCTTCTTTTTTCCTGAGGAAAATCCATCTGGCTGATAAGTGCTTTGGAGACTGATGCTGAGGCAGAGGAATGAGGGTTGGAATTGGTGTGAGGGTTTGGTGAGAGGGCTGCAGGAAGCAAAATTCATTGCATGGCCCTAATTAAGCCAACCGCGATCGCTCTGGATGGGAACGCAGCCATTGTCCAACAGACAAAGGAATTGTTCCTCCTTTTCATGTTTGGTTTGTTATACAGAAATAACACAGAGAGCTGGTGCTCTCCCTGGACTGAGTTAGCTGCAGACAGCTGCAAGTTCTGGGGTTGATGTGTGTTTGATTTTCCTGTCTCTCTCGGTGACCAGCACCTGAGACTTCAAAAGTCTGGGGCAAAGAGCCGCATCCTGCAGCTCTCTAACATGATGTCCATTACTCCACATCAAAGGCAGAGCTGTGCCCTTCCTGGATCCTTGCAGCCATCAGTTTGATGTCCTGAAGCATGACATTTAATTTTCCTTCCTCCCAGAAAGCAAGTCCTTGAACTCGCCCTCCCTAGCTCCAGCAGCCCCCGTGACTTTAATGAACACTCATGCCTGCCCTGTTCTGTGCACTTGAATAAGGATCCTCAGGTTAGGCCATTAATTTGCATAGCTCCAATTATCCAGTCTCTGATCTCCTGCAAAAATGGGTCCACAAATTATTCTGATGTTCTGCATTAAAGGGTTTTTCCTTTCTGATGAAGGCATTTATTCTCTCCTGTGCAGAGCAATATAATTATCTGAACCTCAGATCATATGTTTGTTCTGCCAAGAAAAGCCAGTTGGTTTTGCTTTAGTGCTGACCTTTAAAAATTATTGTTCTTATGTCTGAAAAGAGTCTTGCTTCCAGCACCACTTCAATTAACTTGTAACAGCCAGTGTAGTTTTGTATTTTGAGCTTAAATTGCCGAGCTTCCCTTTGTGTGAGTGTGTGTGTGTGTCTGCAGCTGAGTGTCCCCAGCCACAGGAAGGAACTGGGAACAGCTCCTTTTTCAACTGGGCTGGTTTCTAGGAAAGAGAAATGATGAGTGATTGGTGCTCTGTTATCAGTGAAGCCCTGGGAAAGGAGGAACCACTGATAAACCAAGGTCTGTGAGCACCACGTTTGGGATGGGATAGATTCCTTGAGCGGTTTGGGTTGGAAGGGACCTTGAAGATGATCCAGTTCCATGGGCAGAGACGCCTCACAGTGTCCCAGGCTTCTCCAAGTGTCCAACCTGACCTTGGACACTTCCAGGGATGGCACAGGCCAGGCCTCACAGGGAAGAATTTCCCCCATGAATCCAGTCTAAATTTCTTTTAGTTTAAGCCCTTGCACTAGCTCAGTTAAACTCAGACTGGGGTGAAAGATTTTCCTGAGGTGAATTCCGAGCTTGCCTTGGCTCAGCAGCTCCTGGTGGTGTTTGATGCTGTAAATCAAACATGAGAGACCTTGAGGGAGCTTTTTGCAGCACAACCTCCTCCAGGTGAACTTGGGCTGACCCGAGGGCAGCCAATTACCAGGGCTCTGTTCTCTGCCTGGAACCCATCCTGGTTTGGCTTTTGGGGGGTGTTTTTTCCCTCTGCACTCACCTACAGCAGAGTGAGGAGCTGCCAGACACCTCCCCTGAGGCTGCAGAGCTGCAGGAGCCAGAGCAGGGAGCCAAGATTCCCGGTGGCACAGCGTGCCCACACCCAGCCAGGAGGTGGGACTGCAGCTGCAGCCAGGCCTGGGAGCTGCAGGAGCACAGCTCCAGCTCCAGCTGCTCTCAGGGTTCCCTGGGAGCTCCCAGGTTGTGCTGTGTGTCCATGCTGGAGCTGGGAGCACGGATCCAGCTGTGGGTGTGCTCACCTGGGATTCACCCAAATGCTCTCAGCTGGGCTGCACATCCTTAGACATCAGGGGCTGGGACTGCCTCCTGCCACTGCTGCCTTCAGAGGCTCTGGGTTCTCACAGCTAGACCTTTGCATTCCATAGAAATCATGGAAAAATGGGCTGGAAAGGACCTGAAAGGTTGTCTGGTTTTTAGTCTCTGCCTTGGGCACAGACACCTTCCACCATCCCAGGCTGCTCCAACCTGGCCTTGGGCACTGCCAGGGATCCAGGGGCAGCCACAGCTGCTCTGGGCAGTGCCAGGGCCTGCCCACCCTGCCAGGGAACAATTCCCAATTCCCAATCTCCCATCCACCCCTGCCCTCTGGCAGTGGGAGCCATTCCCTGTGTCCTGTCCCTCCATCCCTTGTCCCCAGTCCCTCTCCAGCTCTCCTGGAGCCCCTTCAGGGGCTCTGAGCTCTCCCTGGAGCCTTCTCCTCTCCAGGTGAGCACCCCCAGCTCTGCCAGCAGAGGGGCTCCAGCCCTTGGACCAACTCATAGAGATACTTCCTGCAAGGAACCCTTTTCTTGGGGAAAAAAAACCCAAACCAACCAACTTTTATTCTGTTTTCTGGAGCTTCCACCTGAAGGAAAGATGGATTTCAACATTTGGCTTCACATCTTTTGCTCGAGAGAAATGATTAAATCTCTTCTGTCACTGGGAGGGACCTGCTGTTGGCTATGGAATCCCAACTTCCCCTCCAGAATGGTAGCCAGGCAACTCTGGGGTGTGAATCAGAGCCTCCTGTGCTGTCATGCTGTGAATCCTTGGGAATGCAGGGGGATTGAGCTCCCCCAGCACCCCCTCATTGGGCTGAACACCTCCCTGCAGTTATACCAGGACAAGACAAGGAATGTTTGTACTGTTCTAAGTGTGCAAATGGGGTGATCCATGCATTTGGGAAATTAGGGGAAGAAAGAGGTTTATTAACCTGCAGGGGAAAGATGTTAGCTCCTGAGAGCTTCATCTCTGGCCTATTGGAAGTGGTGAACTTGTGATGGTGTTCACAGGGGTTCTTGGATGAGGGAAGAGATGAGGATCTGACTCCATGTTTCAGAAGGCTTGATTTATTATTTTATTATATATCTTACATTAAAACTGTACTAAAAGAATAGAAGAAATTATTTCATCAGAAGGCTAGCTAAGAATAGAATAGCAAAGAATGATAACAAAGGTTTGTGGCTCAGACTCTCTGTCCAAGCCAGCTGACTGTGATTGGACATTAATTAGAAACAACCAACATGGGCCAATCACAGATCCACCTGTTGCATTCCACAGCAGCAGATAACCATTGTTTACATTTTGTTCCTGAGGCTTTTCAGCTTCTCAGGAGAAAAAATCCTAAAGAAAAGATTTTTCATAAAAGATGTCTGTGACAGTGAACTTACAAAAAAATTTAGCAACAATACACATCAAGGCAGGGTGAGGGAGGTGATAGGAAACCCACTGGCTGATGAAGAAGCTGAGAAACCTGCATTGTTGCCAAAAATCTCTAAGATGCTCCCTTTGCTCCCAGTAACTGCACCACTGCCAGAGAAAATGTCCTTTCCACCAGAGGAACCTGCCCAGGTGGGCTCTAATGGCTGCAATTAGCAAATGAGGCACAAGCTGCAATTAGCAAAGAGCAGCACGAGGATGCTCGTGAAACACAGCCAGGAATGGTTTGGTCCTTCTGGGTTTGGTGTTTTGGCAGCCAGGGAAAAAGCCCCAGATCCCATTCCTGGGTGTCACGTAGGTGTCACCTCCCCCTGGCCTTTCATTTCACATCTTGGTGCTGATTTTGCTTCTCCTGTCCCTTGAGGATTTCCATGGGAAGGGGAAGATGCAGCTTTGGGATATTCAGTTCTCTGTCACAGTTCTGGCCTAGAACCGTTGACTCTACAGCAAAATACCTTTTTTTTCCTCTCTCAAACTGGCAAATTTTTGGTGTTTTTTTAACCCAAGAGCAATTCTGCCCTCTGTGCTGCAGGCCTTGTGTACGACACCTTGATGCTGAAGCACCAGTGCACCTGTGGAAACACCAACAGCCACCCTGAGCACGCAGGCAGGATCCAGAGCATCTGGTCCAGGCTCCAGGAGACGGGGCTGAGGGGCAAGTGTGAGGTAAGGGAAACACCACAACAGGCCACATGGCCTCTTTTATTAGTGTTATTAATATTATTACAACATTATTATTACTATTATATTGCTGTTATGCCAAAGAAAAGAGCAAGATATGATGTAACCCTCTCATTTGTTATCCCTCCCAATTATTCCAGCAAAAGCAACAGCTTTTCTGTGCTTTAATAACTTTTTTTTGGTGCTCTTTAATAAGTAATGGTCAAGCTGTGCTGTTAAAAGAGTGGGAGTAGGAGGAAGGCACTGAGCACCATTCCATCACAAGAGGTTAAATTAGATTTATTGGATGTATTTTAAGAGCAGGAAAATGGAGAGAAAAGCTTAGATATTAAACAGAAAAAAATGAAGATTAATAATAAAAATTAACAAGTGGTTATTAGTTCCAACTAACAGCAGTGGTGATAAATGGGGGTATAAGTGTGTGTTCATTAATTCTTTGAGCACCTGAGAGGGCTGAATCCCAGAGCATAAATATTCCAGCAATGTCAGGATGGGGCTGGGAATGTTCCCAGCCATCAGATAAGACATCCACGTGGTGGCAGCATTGCCATTGCCTAAATTTCCCTGTCCTGCCCTCCTTTATCCCTTTCAAACCTGTCTCTGTCTGTGCATACCCATTTAATCGAATGTTGGGATTATTTGGGAGCAAATGAACCTCGTTGCTAATTGCCTGGCCTCCGCAGTGGTGTTAGAGATGTTCTCCAATTTATAAGTTTGTGACTGTAAGATCCCAGACAATATTATTGTCCTTAATTTCCTGTTGATGTCCTTCAAGAAGATTTCTTTTCCTTCATTTCTGTGCTTACCTTGGTGCTTTTGGTTGCTCTCATGATGGGAGCTGTTGATGGGAGCTGTGTTTCCCTCCTGAGCACTGGACTTCCAGCCTCACCAGACTCTTATAGTGAATTTCTGCCTTCATTCCCTGCTGGCTTTTTTCAAGCTCTGCGCTGTCATTTCAAGGATGCACTCCCTTGTCTCTCTGGTCACCTTTCCTTCACCCCCACCACCTCCTGTCTCAATGTTCCCTTCTTTATCTTGACTGGATCTGACGATGACTTTCCATGTCCAGCTGATAAATGTTGCGAGTAAGGGATTCACCCCAAACCTGAATTTCTCCGCCTCAGGACCCATTTTATTGTTTTGCTGTGTGTCTTGGTGGCTTGCTAAGGGGACAGAAGAGAGAGCCAAGCCCTGAGCAGTGATTTCAGCAGCCTTTTCCCTCCCCTTGCAGTGCATCCGTGGCAGGAAGGCGACGCTGGAGGAGCTGCAGACGGTTCACTCGGAGGCGCACACGCTGCTCTACGGCACAAACCCTCTCAACAGGCAGAAACTGGACAGCAAGAAGCTTCTAGGTACCATTCCCTGGGGGGACACCCTCCTTCCTGAGCCCTGGCTGAGGTGCTGGGCTCCATCATTAGCCCTGTGCATCTCCAAGAGGATTATTCCCAGCTCTGTGCGCGGGATCCATCTCCCTTTCTTCAGGTAGACCCCTAAACCCTGGAGAGCTTAAACCTCACTCTGGGTGTTGGATAGCTATCCATGGCTAGGGAAGGAACTGGAGCACATTCCCAAGGGTTTGGATCTGCAGCCCCCAGCCAGCTGCACAGGCATCAACAAACCCCTGGCAGCTTTGGACAGTCAGCAAGAGAGATGCAGGGGCCTCTACATTTGTTTAATGTGGAGTGGGATTGTTTATCCCTTTCACTGAAGACCAAATCTTCCTGAAACAGGGCTGTGTCTGTTGTAAAATACAGATAAAAATACAAAAAAAAAAAAGATATTTTCCCAGCAGAAATTCTAAGGGATGCATGTTCAGATAACCAAACAACATGGATTTTAGCACCTCTGTGGAGTCATCATCGCCTCCCTTTACTTCCTGCCTTTTTGCAGCAGCAGGCTGGAGGGACAATTTAAGAAGTTGCCACGTGGGGATCTGAGGGGAAAAAAAAAAAAAAAGAAAAGGAAAAAAACCCTTAAAAAACGGTTTCTGGAACGTTGAGATGTTGAGAAAGTTTATTTTGGGATTAGGCTGACTTTGGATGATGTAAAAAGAGGTTTAACTCAGTGGCCTTTGTGATGTAGTGGTCACAGCAAAGGAGCTGGAAAGATTTTGCTCAGCGTGTCCATGAGCTCCCAGAGAGGGAAGCCATTAGGCAGTGGTTAAACACACAATTAGCACGATATTTATAGCTCACTTCCCACCTCTTTAGGGCCAGAGAACCCAAAAGTAGACACCTCCAGCTGAATGATAGCTCCATTAGGAGGTAAACTTTCAGGAATTTATGATGTCATATGCTCGGGAATGGAAAACCCACAGCCGGAAGGAGCTTCGGTCAATCTTCCCTGGGATATCTGAGAAAATTCTCCTGGAATACTTTTCCACTCCCTCCTTGGCTCTGGGCAGGATCTGTCTCAGCAGTGCCCACAGATGTCTTTGGAGATGGAGTTTATTTGGAATGCATTTTTGGGGGGACACCCTAACTGCTGAACCATTCCTGATGGTTTCTGTAGAGAACCTGTGGGGGAAGCAGCCCTTGCTGCTGTAGTTCTGTGCCCACCATGGTTTCCATCACTCATTTTAGAGTGTTTGCAGAGGTCAACTTTAATCCTGTAGAGAAGAGAAATTCCAAAGGCTTTCCAGTCAGAACATTCCCTGTTTGGATACAACTTGCAGAAAAGCCCCAGAACTGCAGGAGGTCAGGTCCTCAAGGGTCTCCAGTAGGAGGGGATGTGCAGTAGCTCTTAACTGGGCTTAGAGCTGCTTGCTTCAGCCCACCTGGCACCATCTCAGCCTGGAGATGCTCCAGTGGCACTGGCTGCCAGCCCACATCACCCCCTTCTCTCCTGATGGCTTCCACAGGGCAGGAGCTGAGCAAGGAGCTCAGGTTAAAAACCCCTCCTTCAGCTGTTCTCTCCCTTTAAGGGTTTAAAAGGCTTTCAGATTTACAAACCAGCTTGGTGGGGTTCTTTGAAACACCTTAGAGGGTGGATTTAGGGCAGGTTGGAGCGCTGAGGGCAAAGCTTGGTGTGAGGTTTAGGGATGCAAATGGGAGTTTGTTAGGGCTGAGTGTCTTGGCAGGTGTCTGATGACTCCGTGTAAACTCTTGGCCTTTGATACCTCTGTGAGGAAGAAAAAAGCCTGAGAAACCTCAGCCTGGAAGGGGAAAAAGGCTTTTCAGGACACAGGATGTTTCTTGTTAAGCTTCTGCAAATGAAAAGGGGGGATGTGCCTTCATGGAATCACGGAATCCCAGAACGGTTTGGGTGGGAAGGGAGCTTAAAGCTCATCCAATTCCACCCCTGCCATGGCGAGGACACCTCCCACTGTCCCAGATTGTTCCAAGCCCCATCCAACCTGGCCTTGGGCACTGCCAGAGATCCAGGGGCAGCCCCAGCTGCTCTGGGAATTCCATCCCAGCCCCTCCCCACCCTCCCAGGGAACAATTCCTTCCCAGTATCCCATCAATCCCTGCCCTCTCTTGGTTTAAATCCATCCCCCCTTGTCCTGTCAAGGACACAAAGTACAAACCCATCTCTCCCTGGACAGTGGAAACGCTTGGAACCTGTTGGACAAGTTGAAACTTTAGGCAAATAAGGCTGCTTTTAATTTGTGGGGAGCAATCCTAAATTGTTGTCAAGAAGATAAATAGGGAAATAATGGGTGGATTAGCAGTGAGAGATGTGACAGGAGGCAGGATGATCTGAGAACTTCCATGTGGATCTAATCAAGGAGGGCATCTCGCTCTGAGCTCAGATGAGTCCAGATGCATGAGCTCCTCTCTCAGGAACAGAATCCCAAATGGTTTGAGTGGGTATGGACCTTGAAGCCCATCCCATTCCACCCCCTGCCATGGGCAGGAACACCTTGCACCAGACCAGGTTGCTCAGGGCCCCACAGAATTTGTTCACACACGAGCCAATAATTTGCTCACACACGAGCCCAGAGAGCGATGTTACATTTCCTACAGATTCAAAATTAGCCCTGCAGATGGTTCTCTCAATTTTTCTCACATTCTCCTTGTTGGTTTTGCTATTTCAGTCAAAACACATGTTTTTTCTTTGCTTGCCACTGGTTTATTTCGGTGTCTTCCTCTTTCATGAAGCCCATGCTCTCCAAAGTCATGTAGTAACTGCAGAGGAGTGACAATTGGGGTGTGAGTGACAATTGGGGTGGTTTTATGATTTCCTGCCCTCCCTCAGTGGGAAGGGGTTAAAGTGCACATCTGAGAAGACACACTGAGCGATTGTTGGTGGCATCTTCCTCGTGTATAGTCTCAAAACATCAGACAACACCCACACCTTGCTTAAAAATGAATGATTTATAGACAGCTTTTACAGGAGCCTAAGTGTGTACATGGTGTGTGTGTGTGTGTGTGTTGTAACAGGGCTGGGTGAAAATGGGGAGAAAACCCCCAGGAAGAAATGTGTGTGTTTCTGTGCTTGGAAAGATTGCAGAATTGCCACAAAGTAGGCCCCAGAGCGTGGTGACCTTTGTGCCTCACAGGTTTCTTGTCCCCCCCAGGTTCCCTCACGTCGATGTTTGTCAGGCTGCCTTGCGGTGGTGTCGGGGTGAGTACCTCCCTTTAATGTGTAAATAATGTCCTGTTTGTTCTCCCCACTGCTCCCCTCAGCACCAAAAATTGCTGCTCTGCATTCCAGGGTGGGTAATTGCAGCCAGATGCTGCCCCTGAGCAGGGGCTGCCACGGCCTCACGTGCCTTTCTTCAGAAGCAGCCGCAGCGTTTCGGGGCTGCTGTGGAGAGCCTGAGCATGAGGGACACTCAGGAGGAAAAACCTCATTTCCCAGCCTGGGATGTTCACTGCTGAAGCAGCCCTTGCATCCCAAAGTGCTTTTTGTCCTGTGGAAAGCAGGGCGTGCTTGTGCTCCATCCTCAGTCTCGGGGCGCCAGAGCAGGTGGGAAACGTGGCCGTGAAACAGGACAATATTTGGGAATGTACATTTTTTTTCCTGTGAATAGCAAGTTTGCTGTTTCTCTGCCCTGGAATGAAACAGCATTTGGCATCTTTGATTCTCCAGCTCCAGGATAATCCACGTGGATTCTCCAGGAGGTGACTAAAATGCCCCTCCATCCCTCGTGGAAAAGCTGAGTGTTATTTTTCAGCTGTCAAATTTCCATATAATCAGGCTTTTTGCTGTTGTTTGTTCCCATAAAGCTGAAAAAAACCCAAACCCCAAATACCTTCTTTTGAAGGTTTTCTTGTTTTCCTTTGAAGCCTGAAAGCTTAAAAGTTTCTCTTTCAAGTCCGACTTTCTGCTCCAGAGTTTCTGTGGAGGGTGACAGGACAGAAAATCGTGGAGAACAGGAAGGGGAAAAGAATGAGAAGAGACAATAAAAAGCATTGTGTTTGAAAATTCACAGTGGTAGTTCTGCTGCATAATTGTAGCTCATGAGGTTGAATTTTCAAGGTCTGGATTCTGTTATGGAAATGAAACAAAATTGTTTTCTTCCTGAGTCTTTGCAAAATCGCTGCTTTGAAAATTATCCCGTCAGAAAAAAAAAAAAAAAGAATAATCGTCGTTTATTCGTACCGCCACTCGTGGAGATATTTTATTTTGTATTGTAAATATGCTGCAGTCGCCTAATTCATGGCAAATTTTTGGCCAGAGCTTAAAAGGTTTGGATTTACTCTGCCCTGCAGTCAGGCATGCCATTCAAAGCAAAAAAAAAAAAATTATCATTTGCAAATGAAGACTGAATGGTAACAAGTAGAGACAGTGTCTGAGCCCAGCACGGGCCCAGCAGTCTTGCATTAAATCCCAAATCAGGGCAGGAAATGCCTCGGTGCTGGTATTCCTGATATGCTCCCAATAAAGATGCTGCTTGGTTGTCTCCACAGACCCTTAATATTGAATATTTGCTGACTCTGGTGCAGTGTTTGAGCAATCCTATCAGCAAAACCTGTGCCAGGGAACAATTCCTAATTCCCAATATCCCACCTCACCCTGCCCTCTCTCAGTGGGAAGCCATTCCCCATTGTTTGCCAGATATTTTTTCAGAGGGCAAACATGATGTCATCAAGTCAAAAGGAAAAGAAAAGAAAATTAAAAATCAGTAGAATGATGTGGGACAGGTCCTCCTTTGGATTTATACTGGAGCGGGATAAAGCAGAATGATGGCCGATGATTGGAATTCAGGAGCTGAGGGTGTTGTGTGAAATTACAGGCTGGAAAGCTTTGAAACCAGGCTCTTTTCCTGCAAGCAATCAAGTGTGGCTCTCTTCCTTTGGGGGTGTTGTGTAGATGAAAAGGAAGGATGGGCCTGGAGGGGGATGCAGGGCAGTTTTGGGGGGGAGAAACCCCTGGAGAGCTGTTTTGCCTTGGGATAGAGGATGGAGCTTGGGCAGCCGTGAGTTCTCCTCAGCAATGAGTGGAATGAGGGACAGGCAAGAGAGTGAATCAGAGAATATCCAGAGCTGAAAGCACCCACAGGGATCACTGACCCAACCCCTGGCCCTGCACAGACACCCCAACAATCCCACCCTGTGCATCCCTGGGAGCTCTGGGAGTGCAGCAGCAAGGAAACAGTTCAGAGCAAATCCCTTCGTCTCATAACATCTTCCAGACTCTCTCTTTTAATTAAAAACTCGGTGAATTGAAATCAAAGAGAGAAAAAGAGTAAATTTGTTCCCAGGTGCTTGGAAACTCTTTTTCCTTGTTGGTTTATCCCATGGCTGACAAGCCTCCTCCCTTCTGCAGCCTTCTGGTCCTAGCAGGAGAGGAAGAAAGAAAGCACAGAAGCTCTGAAATCAACAGGTGTGAGCTCTGAGTGAAACATCACTCATTTATTTCTGCTGATCACTTGGGAATTGTGCTCAGCTTCGCTGACGCTCCTTTTTCTACATCCAACTACCATGCACTATGGCCTTCCCTAATCCAGGATGATTAGAGGAGGCTTTTGGATGTTGGGAAGGATGGAAGTTTGACAAGAGAGTCTCACAGATATATATGATTGGCAGAAAGATTTTTTAATGTAAAATATGAAGAAAGAATAAGATAGAAGCAAGTTTTGATATAAAAGAATTGCTGAGCCAGTCTTACTGGATAACCAAGAAAGCAAAAGGTGTGTTAGTTAGAAGGGGTTTTTATGGCTTAGAACAAAGGATAAACCCACCCCAAACAAGAAGATGTTTTTACCAAGCAGAAAGAGAGCACAGTCAAACAACTCAGCAAATTCTGCGAGTAGAAAAAAGGTCTCAGAATTTTTCACTGCAAGAAAACTGAAAAACAACTTCTGGCTTAAACTGTAATGTGCTGACTTTTAGTGATTGGAGAACAGCAACATGAATATGGTAATTACAGTAGTTATGGTAGGCTATAGGTAAAAGTTAAGGTATGGATTGGTTTTACTGTATGAAGATGCTCAGCAAAGAAAAGAGTATAATGCATTTGTAACCAAAAGAAAATTATATAATGCATTGTAACCAAAAGAAAAGTATATAATGCATTGTAACCAAACCCAAAGGGTCTCCAGGGCTGCCTGCAGCTGGAGCTGACAGCTGTGGGCACAGCTCTGTCACCCACAACCCTGGACTGCTGGAACATCTTGGGTACAATAAACTGCATTTTGGATGGAATAAACTGCATTTTAGAGAGCCCCTGGAGTCCCACAACACTCATTCAGGCTCTTACTTTAGGAGAAAGGAGTTTAAGCTTGGAAAATCTGCAAGATCATCCTAGCACACTTTTGCATCCAGATACTTCAAAACACTCAAAGGCTTGATTTAAGGAGAGTTGATAAATTTGTTTTCTTTCCTGTGTAGCGTTTTGCTGCGCACATTCTAAAAATATCTGAAGACCTGCATTATTTCTCTGCACGTGTTCTAAAAACTCCAGAGGTGTTTGTGTTGTTGATCTTCTCCAGAGTAGGTGATTCTATTTTTGGGTTTTTCAAGGGCTTTGATTACAGCATATCAACAATTGGAACTGTGAAAGCAAAGTAAGTTCTTGCAGAGCAGAGAGCACGGAAAGGACTTCAGCGGAATGGAAATGAGGAGGAACTAATTAGGGAGTCAGAGGAACAGAATGTGAGAATTATTTAATTGAGAGCAGGAGGAGACACAGTGGGGTGTCTTCCTCTGTGAGGGAAGAGCAGAATTCCTTCATTTTGCAGGGTCTGGAGCTCTGGTACAACCTGTGTCGACCTGTCCTGGTGCTTGATTTCTTACCTGTGGATTTTTTCAGTAGAATTTTATTGTATTTTTATTCAGTAGAATAATTTCAGTGCATTTTTATTCAGTAGGATAATGAACTCTTTTGTGAGGTGCTCATTTAATTTTGAGATAGCTGCACATTAGTGAATAGGAAAGTTTACAGTGTGAGTAGGAGGAATTCACAGTGTGAGTGGGAGCCTCATCATGGATATTAATAAAAAAAACCTTGGGTTTTCCTTAAAGGAAGGAAATAATTGTAAGGAAATAGTAATTTGGAAATAATTGTAAGGAAATAATTGTAAGGAAATAGTAATTTTTATTATGAGGAAGGAAAAACTTTCTGGGTTTCATTTTGGACGTTCTTCCTGGAATGCTCCTGGCAGGAGCCTGGTTTCTGCTGGTGCTTGGCTCTGGCACTGAAGAATCCTGTATCCTGTCTTTTTTGTGGGAAAAGCTGGCCTCAGCAGCCATCTGAGGGTCTGTGGGACCCTTAGGACAGGAGAATTTGGGTATTTTGTATTTCCATTCCTCTGGTGCCTCACAGGGAATGAAGAGGGCCCATGGAAGGAGCCCTGAACTTGCTGTGTCCAGGCAGGAAGGGAAGCTCTTCCCTGCTGGTGTCCTGAGGTATTTTCTTCCAAAGATCAAGAAAAATGGGTTAGGTTTCTTCTGCATGTGTGCAGTCCTGATCCAGGATTCCTGGAGCTGCCCTGTGTAATTCAGACTTTATCCTGCTGCTGTTCCCATCTTGCTGCCCAAATTTACAGGGGTGCAGGCCACAAATAGTCACTGCAGGGCTCTCCCACAATGCAGTGGCATTCCCCAGAGGCTTTTTGGTGTTCTCCAAGTGCTTTCCTAGTTTATATTGTGGCTTCCAGAGCATCCTTGGGGTGGATGCTACCAGAAAGCATCCATGATCACAGAGCTGGAATCACTTCCAATGGCAGCTTCACACAGCTGGGAAGGAGGTGGATCAGTCCTCTGTGGGGCCACTTGTGTCTCCTGACTGCTCAGTGAGCCAGGCACAACAAATGTTCCCTTTCTTCCCATCTCTGCTTTTTGCCATTGTTTCCATAGATACACTCAGGGCAGAGTAATATGTGAAAAATGGCTGGGGGTCCTTCCCTTCCTGGTGAGGAATGTCCCGTTCATCTGGTGACACAGTCTGGAATAACAGCAGTGGGCACGCCTGCGGGGTGCCTTGCCTTGCCTGTGGCCTGTTCCCACATTTTCAGGGGGGTGATTCTGTGGAATATTTAGGGTTGAAGCAAATCTGTGTGATCAGCACAGGATGCTGAAGGTTTGTTAGTGTGTGTGAGCTCCTCAGGGAAGTGCTGTCACTCCTGGGCAGTCTTCTTTTAAATGCCCAACACTGAACATCCCTCTTTATTGTGGGTTTTATTTATTTTAAAGAATCATTGAATTATTTAATAAACCTTTTTGCTTCATCTTGGATCAGCAGCAGTTAAAGAGAAATGCTGATTCCGTGGTCACAGAGTTACAGAATCGTGGAATGGTTTGGGTAGGAAAGGACCTTAAAGACCATTTCAGTCCATCCTCTGCCACAGGCAGGGTCCCCTTCCACTAGCCCAGGTTGCTCCAGCCTGGCATTGGACAATTCCAGGGATCCAGAGGCACTTCCAGCTTCTCTGGGCACCCTGTGCCAGGGCCTCAATGCTCTGCCAGGGGACAATTCCTTCCCAGTATCTGAAAGAAACCCCTTTCAGTTAAATCCATTCCCCTTGTCCTATCCTCCCATGTGAGTGATGTCTGTATAAGACAGGGGTCTCCTGCTGCCTGGCTGCCCTCCTTGCTCCTAACCTGTCTCCTGTGTGTCCCCTCAGGTGGACAGTGACACCATTTGGAACGAGGTGCACTCGTCGGGCGCCGCTCGCCTGGCCGTGGGCTGTGTCATCGAGCTGGTGTTCAAAGTGGCCACAGGAGAGCTGAAGGTGAGGGAACAGCCCTGAAGGTTTGGGAACAGCCCTGAAGGTTTGGGAACAGCCCTGAAGGTTTGGGAACAGCCCTCAGCCGTGCTCTGGGCATGCTCTGCTCAGGGCTCTGAGCAGCAGCTCCAGGACCTTTTCCCTCTCCTCAATGAGGGAAAGCATCGTCCACTTCTATCACCTTGTGAGGAATCCATCAAGAGCAACTCCAGAGTTCCCAAGCAGGATTAAAGCTTCTGGCTGCACCCCCTGTGTGCATCCTTGTCCCTCTGACCTTTTCCTTCCCGTGTTTTTTGTGTGCAGAATGGGTTTGCTGTTGTCCGGCCCCCGGGTCACCACGCGGAGGAGAGCACACCCATGTGAGTATGGCCTTCACTGACTGCATCCAGGGCTCCTTTGGTGGGGGATCCACAGCTGGCAATTCCAGAGGAATTCTGTCAGGTTATCACTGTGGAATTTCTGTTTGTTGCTAGATGAGACGTGTGGTGTTCAGAGCTCCCCACGTTCTGTGGAGCAGGGTAAGAGCCTGCTTAGTGTTTCCTAGCAAGGATCAGCAGTGGGTTCAGGCAAGTGTGGGACATTCCCTGTTTCCCTAGAGCCTGCTGCTGGAATCCAGCACTTCCAATGGCAAACAGATCTAGTGGAAGGTGTCCCTACCCATGGAACAAGATGACCTTCAAGATCCCTCCCAGCACAAGCCTTTCCATGTTTCCAGAGAGGAAAGGAGAGCAGAAGGAGCTCCTGCCTCCTGTGTTCTGTCTAGGTGATGGGTGCAGTGGGACCATGGGAAGCTGTCATTAACACCTCTCTTTTCCTCTTGTCTCCCCTCTCCAGGGGTTTCTGCTATTTTAACTCCGTGGCAATCGCAGCCAAGCTGCTCCAGCAAAGGCTCAACGTGAGCAAAATCCTCATTGTGGACTGGGTGAGTAAATGCCCCCTTCTTTCCATTTAGGAGAGTGGAAATTATTATTGTTAATTCCCTTTAGCAGGTGGAAATTATTCTGGGTGGGTTTCTTCTTGCAAGAGCAAGCTCTGTCAGTGAAAAACTTCTTGCCTGTTGTCTGCAAGCCAAAATTTGGGGGTTTAATTGAATAAAATTGTTCTAATCAGAGAAAAAATTCTTCAAGGGACCAGAATTTTCAAATAAAGAGAAAGGGCTGATTTGGAATTCTGCTTAGGCAATGTATAGATTTTCATTTCTTTATAGATTTTATGTGGCTGTGAAGGTATTGGAGTGACTGGGGATCAGCCAAAAGTTTTGGTTCTGTTGCCACAGGTTAAACCCACAAGTTAAAATGCATTTATTTGTCTTTTGGACTTACTGGATGGATGTTTTTTTCCTCACTTCCCACCTGTTTTTCATGTCAGAGAGGGGCATTTGAAATAGCTGTCCTGTCACAGGCTGTGTTTGTGCACCCCACAGCAGCTCAATAGGGGAGCTCTCATGGGTTGTGTTGTTTAACTCGGATTAAACAGAAATTTATTTGTATCAGTACTCACCCTAAAGACATAGGGCAACAAATATCCCAGTATCTCCATCTGCCAAGATTGGTGTTAATCCAGTTCTTTCCATCAATTTGATAGACATTTGGGGTTGTTTATCCCATGTATTAAACAAGGAGAGTAATCTCAAACTAGGTGTGCCCAACAGGTTATTCCCATTCCCCACAAACTGCTTCAGCCAGGCTGGAAAAAACAAAGCTCAACAGCAAGGAAAACCCCTCCAAATCCCAAACTGATGCCTTTAATCCATGTTTTTAGTGAGGGACTAACCTCCCTGTCCCTGCAGGATGTCCACCACGGGAATGGTACCCAGCAGGCCTTCTACAACGACCCCAACGTGCTCTATATCTCACTCCATCGCTACGACGACGGCAACTTCTTCCCAGGCAGCGGCGCTCCAGATGAGGTGGGCACATGGATCCCAGAGCCCTGGCACTCACAGGAGCTCCTGCCACCTCCAGAGCTCCTCAGGGTTTTGTGTTCCCGTCCCAGGACACGCCAGGTCCCTGTGATCCAACAGCCTGGTGTCCTGGCCAGAGCTGGTGGGACAGCAGCCAAGGAGTCACTGCAGTTTAGCTCTCCAGCCCTTTGGGGACAGCCTGCTCCAGAGGAGCCCTCTACCAGCTGTCCCAGCACTCCCTGTCCTGTGCAGCATTTCTCCTTCCTCAGCAGAAGTTGTTTCTTAGATGCTGAAGGAACAGATTGTCCATGGCTGCACCGCCCACACTCTGTTTTCCTGGCACAGCCATGGAGCCTGTACACCTCCCCTTCTCCATCTATCTCCCTTTCTCCACCTGTCCTTCTCCACCTCTCCTTCTCTACCTCCTCTTCTCCTTCTCCCCTTCTCCTTCTCCCCTTCTGCACCTCTCCTTCTGCACCTCTCCTCCTCCATTTCCCCTTCTCCGCCTGCCCTTCTCCACCTCTCCTTCTTCTCCCCTTCTCCATCTCTCCTCCTTCTCCCCTTCTCCATCTCTTCTCCACCTCCCCTTCTCCACCTCCCTTTCTCTCCTTCTGCACCTCTCCTCCTCCATTTCCCCTTCTCCACCTGCCCTTCTCCACCTCTCCTTCTCCACCTCCCATTCTCCATCTCCCGTTCTCCATCTCTCCTCCTTCTCCCCTTCTCCATCTCCCCTTCTCCATCTCTCCTCCATCTCCCCTTCTCCACCTATCTCTCCTTCTCCACCTCCCCTCCTTCCTCCTGGCCCTGCCCAGGCATTGCTCCCCACCAACCACCAAGGCTGCACCTGCACCCCAAATTTGTGGGGTTTGAGGCCCAGCCTCGATGCTGCTGGAGCAAATCCCCCTTTCCTGGTGGCGTCCTCAGAGTCTGCAGCAGGAGGGATGGGCCAGTGGAGCTGAGAGCTGAGCTCTGGATGGATCCATCCTTCCTTTCCCTCTGGGCTGGCAGGAAATATGGGCCTTCAGAGGGATTTAGCGAAGGGGAGTTTTTTTGGATACTTATAGTGCTCCAGGTGACATCTGAAAACTTCTTCCCCTGTCAGTTTTACATTTTCTGCTTGAGAAAACATCAATGTTTCCATTTCAACCTGTAAAGAAGCTTCAATGTGACGTGATGCTGCTGACTGTTGTAGTGAATCAACAGCAGCCCTTTGTATCAGGGCTTAATTCCTGCTTTTTAGCAATCTGCTTTACAAAAGGAGTCATTTTCAGATGTGTCATTTTAGACCAAATAAAGAAAGATACAAAGCAAGTTTGATTTAAGCCAATGACGGATAAATAACCCACTGTGGGTAGATGAACACCCACCCCTGTGTTTTTCTAGCAAAAATATTTGCACCACTATGAGGAATAATGTGCAATAAAAGCCATGCAGTTTTATCCAGCTGTGCAACACATTGATTTTCACTTATTAATTTTTTTTTTCATATGCAAAGACCTTGCCAAAAAAAAAAAAAGATGGAAAAGCCTGGTTTATTTTTCAGTTTTCCTCCCTCACAGGTAGTTGCAGGCAGGGCAGATGGGGACATTTGCAGTACAAGCAAGGAGAGGGATGCATTTGCATCTCCCACCCACGTGTCCCTCAAGCAGCCAAAATCCCTTCTCTGTGAATCCTGTTTTTCTCCAGCAGAGGGGGAGCTCACTCTGATTAAAATACACATTTCCCCAGTTGCAGCTGTAGTGAAATGCCAAATATGCTCCTGAATCAAGCTAAAAATGAATTATGGAAAAGGAATACATGCAGCACACTCTGCTGCAGAAAAATCAAGAGGGTGCAGTTGATGTTGGGGTGGTTTTTTTGGGTGAGCAGCAGTCAAACACCACCAGTCCTCAGCTCCCATTAATATCTGAGCATGGAGGAGTTTTATTTTCCCTCTTGTTTCAGGAACCAGGGGCTAATCAACCTCACTACTGGATCCAGATCCAAATTCCACTGGGAGAACATCAAAAGAGCAAAGAAGTGTTGCCAGAATTTGCTAATTGAGAGTCCCATTTCCCTTTTTCAGGTTGGCACAGGAGCAGGAGTTGGTTTCAACGTTAACATGGCATTTACTGGTGGCCTGGATCCGCCCATGGGAGACACGGAATATTTAACTGCCTTCAGGTACTACTGAGTTTTCCCTCTCACAGATGTCTTTTTCACCTCAGCTTGGTTTCTTTCTCCTTGTGCCATCCTCTGTGATTTTGATTTTTGATAAGGTTTAAAATTTTGGTATTATTCATCCCAGACAGGCTCTGGCCCAGGTGCCCAGAGAAGCTGGATCCCTGGCAGTGTCCCAGGCCAGGCTGGATGGGGCTTGGAGCACCCTGGGACAGTGGAAGGTGTCCCTGCCCATGGCAGGGGTGGCACTGGATGATCTTTAAGTCCCCTTCCCACCCAAACCATTCCATGATTTTTCTTGGACACTGTCCCTTCCCACCCTCTGGTAGCCTAAATTCATGCAGACACACACGTGCCAGAAGACAGGGTGTGAATTTTGTGGGATATCACCTTTGTGGAACAGCTTTAAATCCAGGAACATAATTTTCTGCTCTTGTTATATCTCATTAAGCTGATCAAAAAGCACCTTTCTCCCCTCTTCATTCTGCCATCATGAGGCCCTCAGAGAGCACCCAGAATTTCAAATGACACCAAATCCCTGCCATTTGTGTCACTCCTGGCTCAGGGAGGCAGCACATTGCTCCAGAGGAAGCCTGGCTATCCCAGGATGGATCTCTTGGATCTCTTGGATCTCTGGAGCTGGGGACAGTAAATATTAATTGTGTGTCCAGGCTGCTGGAAAAGGCTCAGGGCTGCACAGTGAGGCCTTTGCCAGCCACTCCTGGGATCTGCTTGCCTGGACACTGCAGCTTTTTAGGGAACATCTTTGGAGTTGGGTCACAGCCCTGATTTTGGGGAGTTTTGGGGGATGCTCCTCCCAGAGCCTGCACACCTTCAGTTGAACCGTAAGTTAAACAAGAAGCATTTTTTTCATCCTATGCCAAGTTTGCCCATGATAGTACATTATCAAGTGACCTTTTTAAATCTTAACCAGCTCCTTTGAAAAACATTCCCCCCCCCGCCACCCCCCGAATCTTTCTATTGATTTTAATGTAAAATAACACTTTGAAGTTTGCAATTTATAGTCCCCTGAGAGTTGGAAAGTGGAGGGAATGGGTCATATATCCTATTTTTTCCCCCTTCTTTTCTTGCTTTAGCCCCTTGAGACAATACATGCCTTCAAGGCAGCACCTTGTTATTCCACCCCGTCGAATGCCACGTTGCATTTGCTGGGGATCAAACCGAAGATGAAGAAAAGATAAGAAAATTGGCCATAATGAACTCCAGAAGCAGGAGGCATTTTCACCATGAACTTGGAAACTCACAGTGGAGAACTGAGCTTTAATTCAAACCAGTCCAAATGCCAAACTGTGAGGCTTTGAAGTCTGGAGAGGAATCAGTGGAAATCCTTTGAGCTAGGCAAAGATACTGATAGACTTTTTCTTTTTTTTTCCTTTTTTTTTTTCAAGGCTTAACTCTTCACATGCCTGTCTGTTTCCAGGGAAAAAAGTCATTTTTCTGTGTAGAAGGAGCAGATTTAAATAAGTAACATGCTCCTCATTTTTTTGTTGTTGTGTTTTAGGAAAAGGCAGTGTGTGTGAGTTTGAGAAATGAAAATTACTGAGATAATTGTCTTTATGAATGAGAGAAATGAGGGAATAAATAAATCCCAGTGAAACCACTCATCCCCAAACTGAAAACGTGTTTCAGAGTGGGTTTGCTCCATGCAAGAAAGAGATGGGAGCTCACATCAGTGATTTTCATCCTCTCCCCAAATATTATTAAATTATTAGTTTTGGAGTGACCTCTGGATGGTCCTTAATGCCATCGAGATGCATCAGAAGTGAGAAAAACAGTTAAAAATCAGCTTTCCCCTGCACTTTGTCACTTGTTGCCTTCTAACCTGGGGCTGAAATCACTGCCTGCCCAGCTCCAGGTTGGGGTTTGCTGTTTTTGGGGGAGTGGGGGTGCTCAGAAGGGATCTGGGGAGTTTTTTGGGAGCCCGGAGCTCCTGCACCCTGCGGTAGCTGCAGCTGTGCCAGAGCCAGCTCCACATCCCGTGTCTGAGCTCCCCCCTGAGCGTGTGGGCAGCCCCAGATTGCACAGATCGGGCAGAAATGGGGTCAGTTTATGCAGGGAACAATGCAGGAACAATGCAGGGCACGTCCTTCCCAAAATCCTGAACTCCCAGAACGTTCCCGCTGCCTCCGCTGCTGTTCCGTAGTTACAGAAACAAACAAGTTGTAAAATTCAGAGGGGTTTGTTGGACCAGGATTTGTTGTTCCCTTACATTTTGCATCAGCTGAAATCCTGTTTGCCTCTCTCAATCCTCCTGATCCAGGTGCAAACCCAGCTAAGAGACCTGCAGGAAAAATGGGAAGGCTTCGGCTGGTTCTTTATGACAACAGCAATTAGTGAAATTAAAAATGTTTTATCCACAGGGGTTTCCCTCTGAATTTACCGCAAGGAAGTTTTCCTGATGATGCCAGCAGTTGTGTTGTGTCTGAGAATTCCTTCCCCTGTCCCAGTAATTCCACCGTAATAATTCCAGCCATAATTCCACGTCCAGCTCGATTCCACATTTGACTTTATTTAAAACACCTCAGCCAGAAGGAAAAAGCCAGGGCTGTGCTTCCCCCTCCCTCCTGCTGCCTTCAAAAAGCATTAAAGAAGTTCAGAAACCAATTTTAGGGGCATTTGGGTTTTTCCCTTGATCCATAAACCATTTGAGGAGCGAGGAAGAGGATGAGGAGGAGGAGATGATGCTGTTTTGCCTGGAACGGTGGTTGCTGTATTTTCAATTTCATGCTTTCCCCATGCTGATTTCATCCCCAAATTCCTAATCCCTTCGAACACAGTAAATGACCATAGAGAAGCAAAGATTGGAATTTTCAGGAAGCTGGTTAGCCTGAGGAGCAGTGGATAACATTTTTAGTTTATATATATAAAATATATTATGTGTATAAAACCATATATAGAAATTTACACATTATATAGATGAAATATAAAATATATCAATAGGTAAATATATGCATAATATAAATATATACACTTAACAGATATGAATTTATACATAGCACATATAAAAATATATATAAGTCATAGATGTGGCCAAGAATGGGAAAAAGTCTCTAAAAAAGTGTTCAGCCTTCTAAGTTTCACCAATTTACTCACCACATCTGAGCATTTAAAGCCCAAAATAATCCTCTGTAGGATTGTTTCATTTACCTATCATTTATTAGGCATTTAACTGGGGAATTGGCTAATGCCAGGCTAAAAATTGTTCATTCAGCCTTCTGGAAAATAGATCTAAAATTACATTTATTTTTTTTTTTCCTCTCTCCCAAGCAGTTGCAGAACACAATGGGAAAAACCAGAAAACCAGCAGAAAACCAGCTGCTTTGCTGGTTGCAGCCATGAGTTTGCTCTCATGTAGAGCTGTTCAGCTCAGCTGTAACCAGGCAAATAAAAAGATTTCATTTATTTTAAGCAAGCAAGCAAAAACAAGCTTCTGAAATTAGGGAAATTTCAGTTTCCTTTTTTTAAAAAAAATTCTACATGGATTGAATGAATATTCGGTGTCAGGAATATTCATTCCTCAGTGAATAACTTTACAGCCACCTCAGCCATTCCTTAAAAGACCCAGTTCCAGGCAGAACTGCTTATCTCCTAGGTAATAATTCAGATTTCTGGCTATTTTAGAGTCTCATCAGCAGGGCAAAGCCACGGGGTTGTTTCCAGTTTAATCCTTGTTTCCCCTGGAGGGGGATGGAGCATCCCCAGCCTTTTGGGGTGCAGCTTTGGGCTGGCTCTGGTGATCCCACGCTTCCACTGAGATCCCAGCAGCTCCCACAGCACCTTAACTAGGGGAGAGGGGAAATAAATCTGATTCTTTGAGCAGTTTTCCTTGGGTTAGGAATGAAAAAGCTGCACTTGGCTGCTGCACTTGCTCTGGAATTGCTGCTGCTTCAGGCCTTGGTGAGGGTGGTGGTTTCTCCTGGAAATTTCTGTGGGTTCCACCAAACTGTAAACTCACCAGCCAGAGCTGTGCTCTTGTCTTCCTCACAGAAGGACAAAAAGGAGAGGGGCAACCACATCCTCAGAGGAGAAAATTCAAATTCCTGGTTGGGATTCTGTGTGTTTTAAGGGAACATGAAATCCCTTTGTTCTCACAGAGGTCTCTGTGCCTGCGCACGGAGATCAGCGATGCTGCAGGAGCCTCTGGGGTTGCTGTGGCAAATAAAATAGCTGGGAAAAAAATAAAGCTGGGAGGTGTGTGGGGAGGTTTTTTTTGGTGTCTGGGTGCCTGTTCCTGCTCCCTGGTGGCAGTGGAGACTGGGGGTGGGTTTGCTCAGTGCCTGGCAGAGGCCAATGCCCCATTCTACATCGTTCACAAGCTCAGCTGGATGTCACGAGCTGCTGACTCTGGCAGATGTCTCCTGGCTGTTTAATATCCTTGTGGCAAAAAGCTGTGAGCTTTTATGAGTGTTCTGATAGCACTTGAGCCATCTCAGCATGGAACAGCCCCCCTGGGCTCTGTTTTTAGAGCATCACATAAAGACTCGACTCAATAAAGTGTGAGATTCTCGTGTGTGCCAAGATTTACAGGTCCACGCTTTGGGATGTGGGTAAAATAACCTCAGTTCCTGCTCCAGAAAGTTATCCTGGCTGGTGGCTGTTCCTAGGATGGGGAAATGGGAAAATTACAGGCCAGGTTGCCCTAGGGACACATGCAGAACTCAGTAGGTGCAGTTACAATGGAAAAAACATCATTTGGGAAGTGTGTCTTGATGTGGGGATGGGATGTGTGCAACCTCCTATAGGTTTTGAGGAGAAATTGTGGAGTTTGGAAGGAGAGAAAGCAGAGGGAAGAAAAGGTCTTTTGGTGAGAAAGCACAGGAACAGACCCCTTGTTTCATTTAAATACAACTTCAGCAATCCCTAGGACTGGGATGCTGAACAATTCCACCCATTTTTTAGTGAACAAAACGTCAGAGGATGGGGAAGTGGCATTGGGAGAGGTGGATTTGGGTGGGATATTTGCATTCTAAAGCTGTTCTGCCCCATGGGACACTCCAGCCTTTTGGTGTGGGGAATGAGAAGTGCAGCAAGGGAGGAAGGAATCACTTGGCAAAGCTTAGATGAAATGTTTTGAGGGAGGACTTGCACATAATGCCTTGGGCTGAGGTTTCCCAGGTAGTTTTGCAGCCTATGCCAGATGCCCTCTTATTTTACCCTTATTGCCATGGATGTAAATCAGGATGTGATCCCAAATGGGAACCCCAAGGGGTGACAGCTCATTTCCCTGCTCAAAACACGAGCTGGAGGAAATCCCAGGGAGTGCAAGGAATTCTTCCAGCCTGGCTCTCAGGGTTTGGTGAGAGGGTTGAAGCACCCCTGCGTTGCTGAGGAGCCGCCCTGACGCGTGTGCTGTGGATTTTCTGTGTTGCAGGACAGTGGTGATGCCCATTGCCAACGAGTTTGCCCCAGATGTTGTGCTGGTGTCGTCTGGTTTCGATGCTGTGGAAGGGCACCCCACACCCCTGGGAGGATATAACCTGTCAGCAAAATGTAAGTGGGGGCTTTGCTTCTGCTGCTGTCCTGTGGATTGAAGGACAGTATTCCCAGATTTTGCTTTGTGGGGTCTATTTCAGACCTTTCGTTTCAAAGGCAAAACTTCCATCTTTCTTCTTTGAATTTTCATGGCATTTATCTTTTTATAATGCATATTTTGGCCTGGCTGAAGCCTTAATTTTGTTGGTTTTCTTTTAAACATTTCATATTTCAACTTTGAAATATTTAATATGTAATATTGTGTAATTTATTTGTAGTCACATCTCTGCTGAATTAGAGAGTTATGCTGGCATTAATATAAAATTGCAGAAAAAGACCATACCAGCTGTAAACACTCTCATTGCTACCAAGAAATCCATTTCTTCCTCCAGGACACCTTATTAAAATTTTGAGCTGAATGTTTTTGCTCTCCACCTTTGAATTAATTACAGACACCCACAAACCCTCCTTTTTGCTTCGGGTCTGGGATGTTTTTGGGAGATGCACTGAAATTTACCCCCCTCCTCCAGGTTATGTGGAGTTTACCTGGCACTGTTTCCTTCAAATTTATCCAGAGGACAGTTTTTCTTGCAAAAAGGCTTTTACTATTATTTTTTAAGAGTTTGTTCCAGCCAGGAAAGTTGTTCTCTACAGTGAACTTTAAAACCTCATAAGGGAGCTGAACCTGTAAACTTTATATAAGAATAAAGTGAAATAGGTTTACAAGAGGCAAGTTCCTTGAGATGTCCAGAAACACTTTGGAAAGGAAAGGTCTTGTTTACCTGCTGGTTAAATTTGCCAAGCTCTGCTCCTCTCACAAAACCAGTTGTGGGCTCTGCAGTGGATGCTTTTCTCTGCCTGTTAATTTGTTAATTTGCAAAGGGGTTCGCTCCAAAGCAGAAAGCAGGCAGTGGGGATGGAGGGTAGAAATTCCCTGGCTTCTCCTTTGTTTGGCTTTTTGATTTTTTGATTTTTTTTTTCTCCTGGAGGGGGAAGGTTGCTTTGAGGACACGTTTTTTAAATCCTCGCTGCTTGGTTCTGTTTTGTTTAAAGGGAGCAGAAATGTATTGTGTGTCATCTGATCAAAGTGCTGGGTGCCCCTGGAATTTTTATAGCATATTATGGACGGGAAGAGCTGTCTGCTGAGAACGAGATGTCAAACCTAAATCTCTCTGGGGCTGCACTGCACTGCTGCTATCCCAATCCAAACTGGGCCCATTCACCTTCCTCCTCCCTCCCCCAAAGCAGCATCCAGCAGAAATCCGCCCCTTTCCCTGCTCCCAAAGGGAATGCTGGCTGCTGGCTTTAATTTGGGGTGCTGAGGGGTGGCAGGGGGAGGATGGTGATGCTCCCAGCCGGGGTGGTGCTGCTGGGGGACACAGGGATCCATCCCGGGAAGCCGCAGCTGGAGCCGCGCGCCGAGGCCCAACCTGGCTCGCGTTACGCGCCGAGCCTTTGCAAATCCCCGCTGGCTTTTTAATATGATGTAATTCCTCTCCCTAATTCTTTGATCCTCCGCCAGGAGCCCCATTCCAGCCGCCACCTTTGCCCTTGTGCTGAATTTCCTCTGTTTCCCTCCTTGCAGGCTTCGGGTACCTGACGAAGCAGCTGATGGGGCTGGCCGGGGGCCGCGTGGTGCTGGCCCTTGAGGGCGGCCACGACCTCACGGCCATCTGCGACGCCTCGGAGGCCTGCGTGTCTGCCCTGCTGGGAAACGAGGTACAGGCACCCCCAGACACGCTCCCCCCTCGGGTTTGGGCGTCTCATCCTCCCGGCTGCCAAGTTCCTGTCGTTGTTTGGTGTCCTCCTGACACGCCGTGTTTGTTTTGTGCTTAAAAACCACCTGTGCTTTGTAGTCTGTGCAATGAGTGAAACAGCTAGGAATGGTTTTTGGGTTTGTTCTTTCTCCAAATAATTTGCTTTGTGCTCTTTGAAAAACAGCTCTTTTAATTAATTTCTGAATTCAGTGTGCAAGTCTTCCCTTCTCTTTGCTCCCCTCTCTAGTCCTACAGCCTGTGCCTGCTACATGGGGCAGCTTGCTTGACATGATTTTTTCCTAGGAGTTACATTTTCTATTTTCTGCAAGTTGCTGTGTAGGAGAAGCCTTGACTGTGTCAGAAAAATTGGCCAGAAAGGTTAGGGAGGTGATTGCAAGATAAGAGCCAGACAGAGAAATACAGCAAGATGTTGGATTCTGAAGAGCTATGGGTATTTTCCTACAGAGAAGATTTTAGATACTCCATCTTTTCAATACAGCAAGATGTTGCATTCTGAAGAGCTATGGGTGTTTTCCTACAGAGAAAATTTTAGATACTCCATTTTTTCTGCTTTCCCCCACCACTTTTAGTGTCAGTGGGATGAAAGAAGGAACACTACATCTACACATCTTTGAAATCCTTGCAGGGGTGTTGACTCCACCACTGCCCTGGGCAACCTGACTGAATGCCTGAGCACGCTTCCAGTGAAGGAATTTTCCTTAATATCCAACCTAAACCTCCTCTGGTGTAGCTTGAAACCATGTTTGATAGCTTTTGAGATACTTTGGGCTGAGGTGCAGTATCAGAGGAGCTGAGCAGTGGGTCTGTCTCCAGTGGGAGCTGATTTCTGGGGAGGGTTGTAGTTCAGTGACCATCAGGTGTCTGGAAAGATGGAGAGGGAGCTTGGATCTGCATGGAGGTGTGGAGCAGTTTGACCTCCAGCCTGCTGGAAAAGTGTTCTGTCTTGGAGAATCCACACTCAGCATTAGGTGGGAGGCTGGAAGGGGGGATAAACCAGCTGGGATTCATCAGAAGCACCTGCTTCCATCATCCAGCTCCAGTGTCCAGGGAGCATCCTGCTCCTTTTGCTGGGCCAGGCAGCTCTGAGAAGGCTCTGGGCACAGGGCCTGGCTCCAGCCTGCACTCAGCCCTGGGGACAGCTGAAAACTCAGGAGGCAGCTGCCACACCAGCATGGAAACAGGGGGGTTCCACTGGTGGGGCACTGGCACAGGTTTCATAGAGAAGCTGTGGCTGCCCCTGGATCCCTGCAAGTGTTCCAGGCCAGGTTGGATGAGGTTTGGAGCAGCCTGGGATAGTGGAAGGTGTCCCTGCCCATGGTAGGGATGAGCTCTAAGGTCCCTTGTAAGCCAGACCTTCCTGGGGTTCTGTGAGGTGTTTATTGCACACCCATATGTTTTAAGTAGTCTCTACAGACAATTCCTCTGGCTCCAGCCACCTTTGGGTGCAAGATGCACTTGGGAAGGGAAGCAGTGGGAATAACACCTGGAGGATGACGTTCCTCCTGCTCAGTGTGCTCCTAGGATCACAGGAGGCTGACTGCAACCACAAGCAGTAAATAAATGCTTCACCCAAGCCATGGGTGTGTTTGGGAGTGTGAGGCTGTGGGGAGAGCTCAGCACTCAGGCTACCTTGGATGTTGTGAGCTGCCTGAGTGATTTCATTGAGCAGAGGAAATATTGATCCTTAAAGATAAAGAACATTGATTGTTTTAATCATGGCTACAAGGACACTTAAAATACAGACCTGCTCTCACTTGTCCTAGGTGGGCTGTGCAGATAGGGTAATATTCCCTGGCTTAGGCACACATCAGAAAGCAGGAAACACTCCTTTTATCCAGGTCTTTCCTGGAACCTTTTGAAGGCAGGGCAGCCGGGGGGAGCTCTGTGCCGCGGCGCTTTGATGCGGTTTGATCTACAGCGTGTCAGAGCAGCCTGCTGCACACACATGGACAGGCAGCTGTGGCCAGGCCGGGCTGCAGGGAGCTGGGCTGGCTCGGGAGCCAAGCTGGAGCTCCACTGGGGCTGCTGGGAAAGGAGGGGAGCAGTGCCAGTCCCCCGAGCACGGCGTCCACCGGCCGAGATCAAAACTCCCGCGTCGGGGAAGCAGCTCCTTCCCAAGCTGCCAGGAAATGAACCCAGAGCTGATTGCTGCCCTGGGGAGGGGGTCAGGGCTGGGGAATGGGCCTGCACTGCTGTGCAATGCTCACAGGGCTTCAGGGGAAATCAGGGCTGGGAAATCAGAGAGAGACTTTGATACAGGCTGAGAGGGTTTGGGTTGTTCAAGCTCCTGGGAGAAGTGTTCCGGTGCCTAAAGTGGCTCAGAGAGAGCTGGACAGGAGCTTTAGACAAGGGTCTGATGGGACAGGAAAAGGGGGAATGGTTTGAATCCATTTTAACCCAGAGAGCAGGGTTAGATGGGATATTGGGAATTAGGAATTGTTCCCTGTGAGGGTGGGCAGCCCTGGCACAGGTGCCCAGAGCAGCTGTGGCTGCCCCTGGATCCCTGGCAGTGCCCAAGGCCAGGCTGGATGGGGCTGGGAGCAGCCTGGGACAGTGGAAGGTGTCCCTGCCCATGGCAGGGGTGGGATGAGAGGGGTTTTAAGATCCCTTCACCCCCCAGCATTCCATGACTTTGAGGTCTGCTGATGGCAGTCCACACTAGTTAGCCACCGTTCCTCTCCCATTACTCTGCAGAGCTGCTCAGTCCATCGTGGGCATCTCCAGCCTCTGCCCTTCAAACAAGAAGTGATGACAGCCAGGTGCCTCTTGCCCAGAGGTTTTTTGCTCCCTTTTCTGCAGGCTGAGGCTGTTTATGAGTGTTATTTCAGGAGGAGGAGTGAGCTCTAGAATCTGTAACATGCTTTGTCTCAGTGTCAACCAAGAGGCCTTGGAAAGCTCTTGCTCAAAGACTTATCCAGGAATTGCTTTCGCCTTCACTTAATGTCCTACAGAAACCAGTTTGGAGCAGAACTATTTTTAGAGTGGGGAATTAATAAAAAGTGCAATCCATAATTACTGAATCTGGAATGCAGCATCCCGTGAAGTACCTATGGAATGGCTACCATGTGCTCATAAGAGCCGTCTTGGCTGCAGCTTCTCTTGGCTTTGAGAGAAGTTAAACTTTGCCATGGATATTTTTAAATGTTGAACTCTGGTTGTTCTTTGCTGGGGAACATCCCTGATTGGGTTGCTTTCAGCACAGTTAACAGCAGTGGACATCTCTTGTTTTGGACAGCCCACCTTGGAGGTTTGGCATGAATTCATTCATTAGAGGAGAACCTGCAAGGGCAGAGGTGTCTTCTCTTCTTGAGCTTTTCTAAAGGAAATCAAATAAATCCTAAAACTTTCCTCCAGCAGTGCTTGTCAGGCCTTTCCCTGGGCTGGCACAGGCATGTTCCCACTGCAGAATGACTAGTGGAAGGTGTCCCTGCCCATGGCAGGCATGGAGTGGGATGGGCTTTAATGTCCCTTCCCACCAGAGCCATTCTGGGATTCATTGGTAACATTCCTCTGGTGTTCCTCTCTCTCTCTCTCCAGCTTGACCCTCTTCCAGAGAAGGTTTTCCAGCAGAGAGCAAACGCTAACGCCGTGCATTCCATGGAGAAGGTCATCGAGATCCACAGTGAGTGCAGCCCCACCGACCCAGCCGGGTCCCTGGGGACACCCTTTGGGCTTCCCCACCATCCTGCCAGCTCCATGCTCCCATTTCCCACTTTTCTGGTGGTCACTGCACCCTGAGCTGGGCTTGTGCAGTGACAAAGCCCAGCAGGGCTTTAGCCCTTAGTAGGAATTACAGAATCAGAGCACACGTTAGGTAGGAAAAGGCCTTCAGGAGGATCCAGTCTAGCTGTTAACCCAACAAAAACTAAAAGCTCTAAAATCTCTGTAAAGGACAGACTGTCCTGCCATTAGAGGGTGCTCTTACTTCTTGGAAAGCAATTGAGTATCTCTGAATAACCCAAGTCTTGTTGGGTGTTTGGCACCCATTAATTAGGAGTAGATAGGCATGGAAGTGAAGCAGGCTCTCAGGCACAGGCTGGGATTCTTGGGATGTCCTGTGCAGGGCCAGGAGTTGGATTCAACAATCTCTCCCAAGGGATGATCCCTTTCAAGGATACTCTATGAGTTTTGCTGGCAGCTGTTGATATTTTAGGTTTATTTAGCTAAGCAGTTTAAAATCATTGCAGTGAACCTTGCCTGGAGAAATTCTTGGCAATTCTTTCCTCTGGAGCCTTCCCAGTGCTCTTCTCCATGCAAAAGGGTGACAAACTGCTGACATAAAAAATACTTTGGAGGTTGAAGCTTGGACTTGGTAGTCCTGGAGGTCTTTTCCTACTTTAATGGTTCTAAATACATCTTGGACTTCGTTAGTCTTCAGGGATTTGCCCACTGAATGTACGTGGCAGTCAGCAGGTGGATCCAGACCTGGACTGCATCCTTCCCTCTCCTGGATTTTTTTGGTGGAGAGACATCTCCAGGCACATTTGTCCTTAGGTCTAGAAGTTTCTGAGGTATTTGAAGTGGAAAAGGGAACTATTTTTTGAGCACCTAAGGCCCTTGAAGTGAGAGTATGGATTAGATGAGTGAGAGTATGGATCGGATGAGCGTTCCTGAGCAGTTCCGAGCCAGCAGCCGGGTTTGGGAAAGCAGGAGCTGGAATGGTGCCCTGATGGCCCTGTTGTCACCTCTCCCCCAGGCAAGTACTGGCATTCCCTGCAGCGTTTCGCCTCCACGGTGGGATATTCCCTGGTGGAGGCCCAGAAGTGTGAGAACGAGGAGGCGGAGACGGTGACAGCCATGGCATCGCTGTCGGTGGGTGTGAAGCCGGCGGAGAAGAGGTCAGTGGTTTCCCATCACATTTCCAGAGCAGCCTTGCAGGTTAATCCTCTCCTTTCAGCCACTGCTGATGTGTTCCCCACGTCCCCTGTCCTCCGTGGGTTCCCAGAAAACCTTCCAGGCTGCAGGAGAGCAGCAGAGCCATGAGCTCTGAGCGCGCACCCTGCGCCTGAGCCTTCTGCTCCGAGCGTGGCCTTGGACCACACGAATGAATTTATTTTGCTGGGGAAAATCTTAATGTTGCCCAAGTGAGATTGTCCAAAACCCCTTCTTGGTGGCAAGTTTAATTCAGGTGATCCCAGCTGGCTGGGTGGGAAGGTGCTGGGAACATAAGGAGTGAGATTTGGCACCACAAATTATCCAGCTATGTCATGCCAAACCCTCTTTTCTCTCTCCCTTCCCTGTCCCACCCTGGCTGGCTGTGCAATCCCTCAGACCTGAGGACGAACCCATGGAAGAGGAGCCTCCCCTGTAGCAGCCACCTTGGAGCTGGAGTTCTCCTGTCTGTTCGTCTTCGTCTTGAAGCTCTGCCAAGAAGCTTTCTCTTGTTACTCCTGCGTCCTGTCACGGTTATTTCCCGAACACGGAAGGACAGCCAGGTGTAAAGCAAAGCAAGCGACACAAAAAAACAAATCTCTCCGCATCTTTGAGTCTCTTTTTGCTGAAAAAGCCACGCTGGTGAAGAGCAGCAAAGGACTGACACGTTGGGCACTCGCGTTCCTCTGGTCCTCACCGCGAGCAGAAAGAGGAACGATGCCCGGGAAGTCTTTGGCAGAGTTGCCAAACAAAAAAAAAAACCACAAAAACGAAACGCGAGAATAATAAAGAAATCAAAGATTCAACAACACAAATCAAACAAACCTTAACGTAAAACTGGTGCTTACAAAGTTGATTACCCACAACTGAGCAATCTCCGCTTGAACCACTCAACCCATCGTGTACTTTCATTTCTTGGATATTTGGAAATGGCTCTTGCCTGCCTGTGCGTCACGACAGCTCTTGTCAGAACTGGAACGTTGGGAGATGATGGTGGATTTTTAACGGGGAGGGACAGGGAACGAGGACTCACCTGACACCTAAAGGAAAGGGAAGCAGAAGGGGGGGAATGGTAGCCCAGATGGAGTCGGCTTTATTGTCTCCAAAGCCATCTGAAGATGAGTTTGTGCCTTTTTTTTTAATTGATGGATTCGGTGCAGCTGGATTTTCTGAAGTTTGAGGAACAATGCCTTAAGTAAAAATTAATTAAAAAAACAAAACACACACGAAAACAAACAAAAAACCAAAAAAAAAAAAAAAAAAAAAAGAAAAAAAAAAAAAAAAA